CATTAGGCTATATTAACAAACAACGAACAATGGATCAGATGTAACCGATGTTGTCTGTATTGACAAAATAGTCTATAGTCTAATATTACCTGCTGATAGTCTGAATGTGTTTTGACAGCATTTCATAAAATACGAAATGAGCAAGATTGTATTATAATAGACGTCTAAAACTTCATAGTCAGTTTGAACCTAGACACATTTTCCACTGCAAAAAAATCATTAATAGGCATAGGCCTACTTAGTCGGACCATGAGTAGCCTAAACTATGTCTAATCTGGATTAATATTTTCATCTTCAGTTATTGCCACCAGCATTTAGTCCTGTCAGGTTACAGTTTAGGCCTATTATAGCCTTCCTATTTAAAATGAATGTAGCCTATTGGGCTATAGGACAATTCCAGCATTTTAACATTCATTAAGGAAATTCCAGTCTGGTAAATGATGAATGAGCAACGCTGTATAAAATGTAATATTGTTAACGTATTGATACTTCCTCCACTCCTGCATTTTAACATAAATAGCCTATAATGGTCGGCATTGGCACGCATTCATATTCATAGCTCCACCTTATTAAAATGGAGGCTCTGCCTTTATTTACCCATTGCTGTAGTGAATCGCAGTATTGGAGCTCCTGAAACCAGAAACCAGTAGACTTCATTAACCTCTGACACTGACCAGTAATAAGCTATGTCAGTGAGCTTCAACCACAGGCAGATACCCAGCTTCCTCACCATTCAGCAAACCTGCATATAAATGTCAGCAAAATAAAGGTTTTGCTTCAGGTGTCCTGCACCACTGGGTATAAATGACGATGGATGCTGATAAGCCTGTCAAAAAATCCATCTCTCAGCGAACAAGTCCGTGAGAGAGTCATTTGGCCAGTCCAGCTATCACTGATTCAGCTAGTCTGCAGCTCGCATCTACAGTAAGTAAGACAACCGCCTGAGGGCTTTTATACCATTTAGGTGAGCATATCGGTGAGTTCAAGCCAGGCAGGCCCCATAGGTGAGAGCAGAGGAAAACAGCTGTGATCTGTGTATAGCCACCTCAGTACACTAGCTCACATTATTATCTGAAATGGTGAATCAACACAGCAATGTAAATCTATGTGGCTGGGGATGACACAAATCACTTATAGCCCTCTGGTACATTACACAGGAGGGGATGGAAGCTCTGGCTAAAAATGTATCTCCATTTTAATACAGACTACCTGCTTTTTCTAGCATGTTATTCTCTAAAATTCTGCAATAATTCTTGCCTGAAAGGTTTTAATGGTCTAAAAGGTCTTAAATTCTGGCTTTCTAGTTCTACTTGAACATATTCCAGTGGTCAAAAAGGAGTGCAATACTTTGCTTTTTGCAGCCTCGGTGTGTCATATAAAACCTTCTGCCACGAGGCTCATGAGGGATTTGGCGCTGACTGTTCACTCAATGTGGATATTGCAGAGTATTTGTATTCGCACAGTGGAGGGCTCTCAGCACGTGGTCGGGTTGGAATCAACCACATCCAGCAGGAACATCACGATGTGCTATGAGGATTGGTGGGCATGGAGGATCTTATTGAAACGCCTCATAGAGTTCCCTCTGACAATTCCCCAGAGTGTGGATGCAGAGTGGAAATGAGGAAGGGAGAGGTATTTCAAATCAGCAGATAGACAAACTGACTTTCTGTGTTTTTGTCTGTTCACTGTGTAATACAACTGAGTTCATGTTTACTGTGTATCTATGCTTTTGTTTGTCTTAGTGTTGTATTTATGTTCCCTGTGTTTTATGTGTGCTAAATGTATGCATTCCACTGCTGCATAACCAAAACTAAATTACTGATTTATTGATTGACCCTAGTAACTAAGCTAATTCAAGTTGCTATCAGTCAGGAGAAGCATAACAGATAATAATAATAAAGAATAAAGAATAAAGCAACAGTGCTTAATCTATTTATTGCAATTGTAGGGCCCTGTGTGATCTGATTGATTTGATATTTTATCAGTATTTTATATCTTGTCACAGTGACAAGAGCATTAAGTCTCCACTGTATTCCTATTTTTTAATGGCTCCAGATTTGTATTGTTCATTCAAACTGAATTTCCAACAATTTGACAGGGTAGAAACACAGAAATTAGATAAAATATTGAGAATGTATTTTTAGGTATAGTCTTTTGTAATTTACTGCTGGTGAGAAGTATAGATGGTGACAGGAGCTCAGGGCGGCATACTCCCAGAGAGAACATCATGCACTGTGGAGTGTCCCCATCATCACTCACCTCTCTCCTCTTTCCTCCCTCTAATCTCTTCGGTCACTGTATTGATTGACCTACTTCGTCCTTTTTCTCTCCATCTGCAGTACATCCACAGTGCTCCTCCTCCTTCTCTCATGCTCTCATAATCATAATAGTTTCATGCAACTCGACTAACACCTCAACCCAGTGCTCTGAAAACCTACTACTGTAACTGCCTTTTCCCCTTAACATGCTGTACTAGTAGGAAGTGAAATTCTTTATTGATCCCTGCCAATAGATTCTCTTTTTCTGAACACAGGGAGACCAGAGGTCAGAGTTCAGGGTGAGCTGCAGAACAGCACTCGGGGATTTAGCTGCCCTTCTCGATGCAAGCTATGGTATGATATTTTGGGAAAAAACAAACGGTATTACCCTACAGGAGATTAAAATGAAAGCCTTAGTGATACATTACACTCTTCACCATACAAATTTACAGGTTATGTTTGTCTTATTCCAGCCCTGATGCTGTAGTCTGGAACTGTAGCTGATGTCAATGTTAATTAGGCTCATATGTGAACATTTTTAACCCCAGAGCAACATATAGTACCCAGTGATACAGCGGTAAATAATACATCTAACTTTCACCTGATCACTGATGCAAAACCCTTATCATCAATTATTTCAATAATGATTTCCACCCCCCAATAAAGCCATTTCTGATAAAGAAGTCATAAACAGATGATGTGTATAATGCTGCATATTAAAGACTATTAATTACTCATATGGTTTAAAAAGGATGGCCGAACTGTATACCACTTAAAATTTAAATATATTTTATTATGCAAAGGCTACTGTACTGTGGCACATCGCCTACCTTGAGCTATAGCTATGGACTCGAACTTGTGCAGTTCTCGCAGCAGGCAGGTGCGCTCAGACGGATGAAGGCTATATATAAACTCCTTGGCTCCTTGGGGCGAGTTGAGCGGCTCCACGGGCTCCGGGTGTGTGCCCAGGTTACACCGCTGCACCAGCATGAAGAGGGGGGGCTCTGAGGCAAACCGTGCCGGGGATGCTATGGCGGGTGTCTGGTGGTTGCTGAGTCCGGCTGTTGCCAACCCAGCGCCGGCTCTCAGAGAGAGGGCGGGCCGGAGGACTCTCCGCAGGCAGGGCAGCATCTCTGGGATGGGGGTCGAGCAAATGCGCCGGGAACCTGATGCGGAGCAGCGGAGGACAATACAACAGGCCTAGTTACCACTTTCAGCCTACACTCAAAACACATGATCATGCAGCTTTATATAATAACTCTATCATTCCAACTGATCGCTGCAATGGTCGCATGAAAACACCCTACACATCCTCAATCTGAAGACAGCCTGGGTTATTTAAGGGCAAAACAAGGCCTGTCATTAACAATTACACATTAGCTAAGAATCTTTTGGTTCAAGCCCATTTTACGCGCATTTGTGATTACACAAAGTAGGAAAAGATGCGACAGCTGTCCATAAAAATCAAACTGCAACTTGTCTTGTCGGACGCACCTCAGTCGATGTTCCGCCGTCCCGTCCAACAACCTCCAAAACAAAACCTCGAAAATACAGAGAAGCTGCTCCGGCGCGCACGTTTTTTGTTTGCCAGTTGCGATATTCAGCAGATGTCCGCGCACAACCTCAAACCCTGTAACTGGCTGTAGTAGTGGCACAAATTCACATTTTTGCGAGCGTAATCCCGGCTGGCGTAACCTCTGGTTGACAGGATGGTGTGAGGCGGATGGGAGGAGGGCTCCAGCAGCCCCCAAAATATTTTCCAATGGCAGCGCTGCTTTCCTGCGTGCGTAACTCTGACGGCACCGCCACACGTACGTACATTCAGTAGCCTACATGGGCTTTATCAGAGATGCTCTGTGCTACACCGCGTCTGCCATAACGGACAAAAATACGAATTTAGTCCTGAATATTTAAGTTGCTGACCTTTGAGAAGTTAATGGTGCCTGTATCCTCGCGAGAAACACAACTGGAACGATCTGTTATTTGTACCGTGTATATGTGTGGTATCACTCTTTTCTAACCTAACATATGGCTATAAAATAATTAAGCAAATAATCCAGGGGAATGCGCCTAGTTCATTTTTATATACTAATATGTTACAATAACGCCAGAGAAGATAAGCTACCTGTGCCGTTTAGTGAGACGATTCGCGATAATTAGCGTATTTGAAACATTATATTAATATCAGATGAAAATTCAGTTTCTCTACAGTATAGTCACAGACATGATCTAGTATTTGCCTCCCTCTGTTATTATGCACGTGGAAAATTTTAGCTATTCAACCAGACTACGGCCCGTAAACCAGGAGGAAGCCTGTGCTTGAGGTAAAAGAGGAAAAAGCGGTTGTTTTACTCTACTGTTTGTTCATGTATTTTCTGATTTAATTTAAGGCTTTTTGGGTGTCATACTGATTGTTTTGGTTGTACTTTTGTTGATTTGACCAGTGTTTCAGGCACCTAAGGACGGGAGGAGTGATGTATTATCCAAGCAGAAGCTCTTAACCAGGGTAGTGTTAAAAGCAGCTCAGACAAGATGGGCCCCTAGTGGCCAAAACCAGGCAGTCATGTGTTTATATCCTGATAAAAGGCCCAGTGAAGATTTTATCCATTGCCCCTGTGCTGATGTTATCCTACTGTACAGTTGAAAATTTTCCCACCCACCACCCCACATTATGGCCAGTTTTCAGACCAGGTTAGTAAATACACACACAGATTGCACATTCAAGAAGTCAGTGAGCCAAAGTAAAATTTATATTTTTTATTATATTGCTAAAGCTGTCATTACACAAAAAATAACAATCTTTTACTTCCTGAAACAAACTGCATCATAGCCTGTTGAACTGTACAGGGACAGACAGAGAGGTCAACTCTCCTCAGGGGGAAAAACAAGCTAAAAACTAAATGAGAAACCAGGTTTAACTGTACTTTTCAAACCCTCACAAACTATAAACTTCTTATTCATTGGATACACTGACATTTGGCAACTCTGATATAATATATATATATGCTAGCAATTTAAATATGTAAATTACAGGATTATAATACAAGTTTTAGACAGGTGGACGGCCAAAACAACAACAACAGAAATATGAACATCAACAATATCAAGAACTCAATGCCGGGTTTCCCAAAACATGTAAGCAGAATCTTTGCTATGTTAAAATTTAACAGCATAGGGGTATTTTGTATGCAAGTGGTTCGTGGTGCATCCCAGTTTCCACTATGGGTTTAATTCAGGCACAGAGATGATATTTGTTTTTGTCATCCCTCCTAAACTTCCTATTACATTAAATACACAAGAAATCTGTTTAAAATATAGAAACAAAGTGGATTTTAATGCTAAGATGTCGTTGGGAAACTCAGATTAGGCCAGACATTGTGGGCAGCGTGCCATTTGTTCAAATCTAATAAGATAAGATAAGCATTTTACCTGCAATCATAAATAACTAGGGGACAAACGTTTAAATTCAAGTCACCCTCGAGAAACACTTGGAAGTCTGCATCATGCAAATACCGTTTGTCCCCGAATCTGAACCCATAATACTGATGCAAGCCTTTCCTTTATAAAACTAAAACTTTTGAAAACACATTTGGAACACATTTTGTTGCAATTATTAAAATGCAGCTTATGTGTGTGTGTGTAAGAAATAAGGGACATAATGAATTGTAGCAGGACGGTCATGAACATTTCACTGATGAAACAACACATCATCAGATAATACATGCATGGATAGAGGAAACAACTCTATCATTCTTTAAGTATACAAAAATAAGAGAAAGAAAAAGAGAGAAGAAGAAAATAAATTAAAAATGTGTTTCTGAACTAACTTTTACAGCTAACATTTACGGTTTCACACATCTTGTAGTAGCCATGGTCTTACAGTGCTTTAACAACTCTTTTAGCCTATAGTCTTACAGCGCTGCAGTTTGAGGAAAAGCCTCACACGTCCACAACATCTTATTGTCCAGATAAACAGAATACTTTAAAATGTACCTGTGCTGATGTAATTATTAAACAATGGATTTTGATGTGATTTCCTAATTTATAAGGTAACTAAATCTGTACGTACTTTGATGCATTTAAAAATAATCAAAACTAAAATTGGAGATGACGGATGTAAAAACCTAATTAATCAAAAGAATGTGAGAATGCACGCTACATGCATTTCAAATAAGACAACAAAAAGTTCATTATAACAGCTTTCAAAACATCAAAAATATTTTCCCTCATCTATAAAATGTTTGATAATATATATAAATTTGAATTAACGCTGACTTTTGACATGGCACATCTGTACTTACACAATTAAGCACTGTACTTAAACACACAATTATTAGTACTGTTATGAGTAATGAATGCACAGCAGGTTGCAGGATGGCTAATAAATGCTATAAAACAAGAAGGGGTTAATATATAAGGGCTAATATATAAACACAAACCACTGAGGAGTTCTACAAAGCTCAGCGTGTAGATATTGCAGATTAAATTCATAGTGGAAAGAAATATGAAACATAAAACCAAATCACATCCAAAGGAATTAGGCTATGGTGATCATTATATGTAATCAATAAACATCCTGTTTGAAGATGTTAAACTTAATTTGCATGGCACTGTGGAGGAGCAGAAGGACATACAGCAAAGATACAGTGAGTGAGAAGCCCCAACACACTCCTTGGCAATAGACTTGTGCAAAATTATTTACACATCATATAAGGGCCGCCACTCGTAGTGTCTCTTAATGTCACAACATCAACCACGTAACGCTTTAGTCACAACTTTACTACTTTAACACAAAGTCGGGTCATTTGCTTTTTGAGGAGCTTGTCATATTGGTCATACCCATGCCCACGTTAGCTCTGTGGATGTCTCACGTATTTAAGTATCTGAAGTGTGAAGTGTGGAAGACAGCTTTTACAACACAGCACCTACAGCCGTCAGGGCGCCCTGCCAAGTAAGCAGTCAATGCAGCTCAAGAAATGCCGTGTGGTTCAATGAAGGCCAAACACTGGAGCCATTACTTTCTAGCCCACCTGATAATTGCTCTCTTGATGCTGTGTTGTACTTGCATTGGTTATTGCGCTCCTTCTGCCAAGTCACTTGGCAGTTGGAATGCTTATTTGTCCCACGGTGGTACAATGCCCTCCCTAAACACTGAGTGTTTACATATAATTCACAGTGTTTGTTTTGAGAAGAAGTATTCTCATTGTCGTTGTCCAGAGAGAATACTAGATTCATGGGTGTAAAATACGTCCTTCCTGTCAGAAATTAACACACTGTGGTGTGATGCTTCTTCGTTCTTCTCGTTATTTATTGTCAAACAACAACCTCATGTTTTATCATTACACAGCTTGGATGTGGGCTCGGATTTGCAAATACATGTTTAGCGCTTAGGCTAAAAACCTTTATTTGAAGAACCTACATAAGGAGTTAGATCACACCTCGTTCAATTACTGAACTTATAAAGGTCTCCCTCAAGTGGGCCTGTGATCTACTTTAGGTCTAAACCAATAATCTGGCTTTATAATATCATTTCTGAGGCATCATAAGCCAAATTAGACATTGTGAACCTGAACAATAAATGTATCTATATATTTTCTTCTCTGAATCGTTACAGATGGCTTCTCACAAGTGGAAATTTACAGAATGAGAAACGCTACATGTAGAACAGGTGTAATTGATTTCTCATATTAGCATATCAAGCCTTTTGATTCTGTACATTGCATGTCTATCTAGCATTGTTTTTACTTTTAGCCTTTGAACTCATTTACAGTGAAAGGAGAGCCTCTCTTCTATGACATGAGCTCGCATGTTTCTGGCATTGTGTCATCATGCGATGCGTGGTGCAGAGCGGTCATTGGTGAGGGTTCTCTTGAGCCTGACCCCCTTGCGGATGGCCACCAGCATGTTGCCTTCATCCCCTTCTCCTGCCTCCTCCCCTCCCCCTTCCTGCTCTAGCTCACTCTGAAGGTGCTGCTGGTTGGGCAGGGGTACAGTGGGAGGATTGGTTGTAGCCTGACCACTCCAGGACACCACAGGCAGGGTGCCAGCATCCCCAACTCCTGCAAATGTTGGAGAATCTGGGCTTTCTCCTCCTCCTCCTCCTCCTCCTCCTCCTGCTCCTCCCCCGCTCCCATTAACTGCTCCTGACATATCTGGCACTGTAGGGATTTTTACTGGGATGACAGGTGTACGAATAGGGATGGGGCCTGTGCCTACGACTGAGCCTGAACGTCGGGCGGAAGGTTTTGAAGAGGGGGTGCGGCGGATTGTGGCAACCCCAGGGGTGACGATAACCGGACCGTGGCCTGAGGAATAGGAGCCAGGGGCATTATGAGAGCTGGATCCAGAATAAAATCCCTGACTTGAACACATGCCTGCAATGACAGAACACAAATGATCATTAAGTCATTAGCATAATGAAATTTACTTCTAATACAGTGCATTTCAGTTCATTACACAGCAGCCTTTGGTTTCTTTAACAATAATAACAAGATAGAGAAAGACATAAAGAGAAACATGTGTACATATCCAACTGTGACACTATCAGTGCAGCCTGTACCTGTCGGGGTAGGAGGGTAAGCCCCAGTGTGGATAGGTGTGGCGGGATAGGGCCCTGCAGGGTAGGCCCCCTGTCCGGGGTAAGGAGCCTGTGTGCTGGGCAGGCCGGCTGTGGAGGCTGGCCGTTTGCTCTGGAACATGAGTCGGTAGGACTGACTGATGTCACTGTTTCTGGGGATGGTGGAGGACTTGTCAAAGTCCAACTGTTGCTGCTCAGGCTCCTGATCTCCAGCCATTGAGAAATAGTCATAGTCTGATACTAGAAAGAACAAACGGAGAGGCTAAAAATGTACTGACGCAGCAAGATATTACAATTCTAGAGGATAAAAGAGAAAGAAGTTAGCCGTGTAACAGTGAGAGACAGTCTGATTCTAGAAAGAGTGTGTTACCCTGTGAAGGTATTGTATCTTCAGAGCAGCAGGGTGTGTTGGTCTGCGTGCTGTAGCCACTGGAACACTGGATGGAGTCTCTACTGGACCTCTGGGTGTCCAGCTCCAGACCTCGGGATAAGGCCAGGGCCAGTTCCTCATGGGCCTCAATATCACCAGCCTGGAGCAATCACCCAAATGTTAGAAACATTTGGTAATAGTGTCTGAAAGCATGACTGTCTGGATACAGCCAAGTACAATTTGTTTGTCATTAAAATCATTAGGTGCAACTTATTAAAGTCATTAAACGGGAACATTAGTGGTAGGAGGCTCATTCATGTGGTCTAAATGACACGACATCGGCCTGCTGGAAGTTGAATGTGAGGTCGCCTGAAAGCAACACAAATGGCACTAAATTTAGACTGACCTATGTTCATGTGTTTCGTCCAGTACTGGCAGAATTAAGTGGGAAGCAAATCACTGAACAATTCTGATATTTTTGTTGCAATTTGCCACCAGCTGCAGCAAAGTACTGATATTTTCAAGCTCAAATTTTAAAGTGGAGAAACATAAAAGTGCACAGAATGTCTGTAATCATATAAAAGTTCCTCTGCATCCAACATAGTAAACTAGCAAAAAGTGTTAGTCAGATTAATCAACAATTAATGAAGTCCCTATAGAAGTGTAAAGACTAACACCGAACATTTCACAAGTTGCTTTTATTAATAATGATTTGTTAACACTACCAAACTATTTGGTTGTAGAGTAGAAGAACAGTTACAATACTACAGATACAGTAACAAAAAGTGATTATGTTGTAATAACAACAACAACAACAATAATAATATATTTATAGAATAATTATATTACAAGTAATTAACCAGATTATGTGCTTGCTTATTGTAACAGCTGTTGTGGAACAGTATGAGACTAAAGCTGACCTTGAGTGGTGCAGTCACAGTCCTGTTCTTCTCCTCCACTGACGGTTGTAGCACAGCCGGAGCTGGCACTGAGTTTGAGATCGAGGCCGGGCTGCTATCATTACTCACACTGCCATTACTGTCCACTACAGCTGGGGTCGCCTTTTCTTTCTTCCTCCTCAGTGTATTGACCATGGGCTGGTCATAAGGGCCTGGTTTGGCCCAGTCCTGTAAAGACAGACATGTCAGGGTTGATCCTTCACATTTGTCTGATGTGCTTTCCCCCAAAGTCCAAAGTCTAAAAGAAGCAAATTGATCGACTAAAAATGGATTTGTTCAGTCAGTAGTACAGTAAACATGGCTTGCATGTTGACAAGGAGGATGGGAAGAAGTTGATCGCCAAGACCGAGGTGATGAACAAACCTTCCAGCTGGGGACTCGTGATGAAGGCACCATGGGACCCAACGTGCAGTAATGAGGGTAGTCTGGCACCAAGGCTGAGGCGGGACGTGACCATGAACGAGTGGGGCAGGAGGAGGAGGTGGAGGATGAGGAGGAAGGAAGGGAGAAGGGGAAGGCAGTGCTGGACCCTGAGCCCAAACTCCCCCCGCTGCTATGCAGGTAGGCAGGGGAATTGGCCGGACTGTAGTGGTCAAAGCCATTCGACAACTGGATGTGTGTGCGTCGGTGGGAGGCGGAGTGATAACAGAACAGAGTAACAGAACAAACACACAATGGGATAAATTATTTATGATAAACAGTAGAAAATAAAAACAGACCATATCACTGAGGAGAAATCATTCAAAAAGGAACACAAAAATAACAAGGAATCCATATTGATAATACAAAACAAAAGAAATGGTCACAAATGCTGAACTGAATGAAAACTGGAGAAACTGACGCACATGCCAGAAAATCTGGAGTTTGGAGGGAGTTTTTCTGTCACAAACTAAAGTCGATGCAACATTAGAAATTTAGTATGAGGGCATTGTGGTGTGAGTAATGCTGGTACAACACAGACGTTCATGTGAAAGAGCGGTAAGGTTCATGGCAGATGAGTGTGATTCACCTTGTCAGTAATGTGCTGAGTTGCAGTAGCAGCAGCTAGAGAAGAGGGGGTGCTGCAGTCACTGTGAAGCTGCCCAGTCTCTGAAACCTCAGAGGACCTGGAACTGGGACAAGGCTGGGACAGCGAGGGCAGCAAACAGGCAGTGGGAAGAGACCAAGAGAATAGAGGAGGCAAGGGGGAGATTGAGACAGACAGACATGTCAGCAGGTAGGCAGAGAGAAGCAGTTTGTTAAAGAGAGCAGAGGCAACTTCATACCAGTTCTCAGCAGTTAGTGAGGCATACAGCCAAGTGACAATACGGACTGTTGAGAAGGTGCACTAGGAGTCATACCGACATTACTTGCATGGACATCAGCAGAGTTGCAGCCTTGTTAAAGGGAAGCACAGGCAAAGTTCTGATATGATACCTAATCCATGCCTATAGGGAAATAACTTTTTGCATGCTGCCCTCCAGGAGGAGATTAGGGATTGGGGGTAGCTACGAACTTCACCCTACATAGAAGTGGGTAATGATATTAGAGACATCCACATTAAGTAGAAGCCATGTCTCAGCCTTATTGGCAATAGGAGGGCTGATTCCTGGGACTGTACTGTAAATGGATCAGGTATGGACTTGCCAAACCACCTTTACTACATCATAAAAACTTGGAGTCTCACTTCACCAATGTGTTCTGGACAGGGGAACTCTGGTTGCTGGCGTGCTAACAGTGCAGCCGCTCTTATGGTTGATTTCAAGCCACAAACCCCACGCGAGACAATCCCCTGGACTATAACACTGATAATTATCTGAAACCCTGTGTCAGATGGTTAGATAAAACTGACAGAATCAGACCTGCTCATAGAGACACAATCTTAGAGCCTGTAAACACTTAAATATATAATTTTAGTGTGATACATTTAATGAAAATACAACACTCAGTGTGCTTGAGCCTCAGCAAGTTGAACCAAACCGCAGTCTGTCACAGCGGTCGACTCTTTAATAGCAGGATGGGGCTGACCTTTTTTGCCCTGGGCTAGAATGGAGGCAGACTAATTTCCTGTGCATTTATGCTATAATAATAGCACCAAAATGACTTCACCATGATCACACACACTTACTGCATCCAGCTAGCTGCCAAGGGAGATGTGTGAGAAAAGAGTTATGTGGATTGCTGATTTGGGGTTTTCTCTCTGTCTCGGACTACAATGCCTTTTAAATCATACAGCAAATGTGGTTTTATAGTCTTGTCTCAGCCATTGTACATTCTTAGAGCCAAAACTATGGTTAAGTGTGGGCAGCAGAGGGTTTTTCTTACCTTTGTTTCAGCTGGCATAGGCGAGGATGATTTGGACGATGTGTATTGGTCGTGTGATGAGGAAATGAAGCCCGAGTCGTGGGAGGAGATGCTAGAGAGCCGAGCTGGGGCCTGCTGGGGTAGCGTGGAGCTGCGGTACCGATGGCAGGGGTGATGGTGGTGGAAGAGGTGGTGTGAGGAAGAGGAGGAAGAAGAGGAGGAAGGAGAATGAGAGTGAGAGCCACTGGATCCCCTGGAGTCACTACTGTTAACGCTGTTCAGACTACTGTGAAAGGGGGATGGAGTGAGGGATGAAGGTAGAACCAGAGGTAGGAGAAGTTTGGCAGTGACGGGGCGGCGGGGTAAAGAGAATCAAGTGTACCCAAAGGCATGGATCGAAAAAGGAAGGTTGGATAAGAAAGAGATCAAAGGAATAATAGGGAGGGAATGAAGGCAGAGGATTGGGGGGAGTGTGGAGGAGACAGGGTGGGAAACAATTAACACAGCACACCCGGATGCAGCAGGCTGTGACTGAGGCCAAGCCAGTCAAAACAACAGAACAAACAAAAATAAGAGGTGTGATATCATAATGAAAATATGTCGTTTTCATAATATTCACACAGACCGCTCATGAAAAGCCCTAGATCTAATTACTGTGTGAATTGAGACTTGAAAGCAACACTTTGAACATCTGAAGCAGATATAAAAATGGTATATTGCAAATTCTTACATACAATGTGTATCAACAAATGTACAGACTTGACAATCACACATAACAAGGCATAACTATACCTCGTTTCAAGAACTAAACATTAGTGAAAATTATAAATTGCAAAGCAACAAAATCACAAAAGCAGCTCTCACTATGATTTGTGAATTTCAGAGGTAACTTTTTGAAAACATAACAAGCAAAAGCTTTGAACAAAAAGTTTTGATTCAATCAGAGAAAAACCACAACCCACAAATGTATGTTACAAGATTTTACCAGGACAAATGCAAAGCAATACACAACCCAGGCATAAAATGTCTTACACTAAAGTCTAAACAAGGACAGTTCAGGGAAAATCATTGGGAGATACAAAAGGCAGGGAGGACAGACAACATGGTCTGAACAGCTATAGAAAAGAAGGTGCACTTTCTTGTCAACTCTTTAAAAGTTTTCTAACCTCTAATCCTCAGCTTTTTTAAATACATTTTGACCACTGGGTGGCAGACACAGATTGTGCAACACAAAAGTTCTATATGTCCTTGTTCCCCACTGCATTACACCGATGTAAGGTATCTCCCAAGAAGATTCATAACCACTGATAAGGTCTAAAGGACTGATTTGCATTTTTCAGTACATCCTATGTGTCTACATATTATGCAATAACCTTCTTAGAAAAAGGTGACCAAAATAACTGTAGTAAATTCATTTTTTATTTGGCATCATTTTGAAACACGCTGGATCACAAAAGGGTTTTGTGCGTGCAGTAGGTAAATGTGTACTTGAAAGACAAAGCCTCTGTTTCACTTATTTGTGGCTATGAGTCTTGTGATTGGCTGTGAGAGCCTACCTGCACATGCTAGACTTCCTGGACATAGTGGTGCTCGGGGATGAGGGAGGCGTTTGATATGACCAACCGTAGTCTGAGCCCTTCAGGTCCAAGATCACCTGAGAGGGAGGGAAATATTAGTCATAGGTGTGAAGAGGAAAGGCAGTGAGCAGAGCTATAAATTAGTTTAGTTTTAGTTCATTGTTCACAGACTATATCATCGTTGATATTTTGTTCACCTGTTCACTAGCAGGCGGAAGCTTGTGAGGGTCGGAGGTCAGGGCTTTGAGATCATCAGAGATAGCTTGGAGATGGGTGACCTCTCCCAACATAGAAATCTCCTCATCCTAAAAGAAAAAATGTCAGAGAGGGTGGTAGATTGAGTTCTTATTCAAGAGTTTTCAAGAGTTTCAATAGTAAAAAAAAGTCCTCTTTAGATAGCAGCAGTTGTTTAAACAGCTCTTTAACAGAACAGAGCATGAAAATGCCTCGTTTTTCCAGTCAGTGGAATTAAAACATAAAGTGAGGACACCATGTAGTGAGGTGACTTCCTGTCTTCCAGATCTTGGAGTGCTTTCAGAAGGCTAATCTCTCTCTCTCTCCTGCTGTACTCACCACTACAGGCCGCAGCAGGGCTACGAAACAGCAGAATCTCTGTCTGTCCTCTATAAGAGCCTTCCTCAGGGCCTGTTTCTCTGTCTCTTCCAGCAGAATGTATTTATCACTGACATCCTGCATAGCGCTGTCCAGCTGGGGTTGGATATCACCACGACCTAGGGGGAAAAAAGGACACACAATAATGCACAAAAAAATGTATATATGTATATATAGGTATAATAAAATGACCAACTGACAAGAAGTCAAGGAACTGAGATGTAATGTAACCACTAAGCCTTCCTTACTAACACAAATACTAAAAAGAATATATTTATGCTACTGTCACATGCATGAATAATCACAAACAACATGATCATGAAGCAATGAAAGAACATTTGGTGGCATTCTGTGTTTTTTGGTTCACTTCTCTCAGATGCTGGCTTGGACTGTTATTACGGCTCTACATGTTATCTTTTCACTGTGGACGTTGCTATCTTCAACGCTAGCATTTGAATGTCCTTGCTACTTTTTGGCTATCGCTTCCACATGAAGGGCCACTCTTGTCATTTAAGAGTTTCCTGTCTCTTGTTCAGAGGTGGTAAGAAGGTTATCTACTTTAGGCTAATCTGTTGCTTGTCTTGGAAAGCTTCAGTCTATTATGCTAAATTGTGCTATTATGCTTGATAGCCAGAGTTCTGACTATCCATACAAAACTCTTTGTCAAACACTTGAATTCTAGCGTGTTTATAGACAGGGTTAAGAGAGACTCTGTGTGTGTGCGCGCGCTTTCACGAATGACCAGAATGCAGGGCATCTCCAAGGCCATCTGGTTCTTGTGCTGTTTATATGCATTTGAATTGGATATGTAAATCCAGGACTGTGTTAGGGCTGTGACAATCCCAAGGTTATACTGTTATTCAGCGCTGTGTGTGTGATTTTAAGAGAGGATACCCTGAAGGCAAGTCAAGCCCTCTTGAGTTCTCTATGGAGGCAGGAAGGCTGGTGACTGCCAAAGATGACATACAGTGGGCCTCAAAGGCATTATCTAACCACTCAAGCTACACTTACACACAAACATACACACACACAAACACACCCACACCCGTCTTCACTTTGATACACCAAGGTTAAACCCACAGTGAACAACTTTGTGGTCTGTCTGTCTGCTCTTGTGTCTGGGAAAAGATAACAAACTGGAGTCTTTCATTGGCATTTGAGGCCTTATATCATGCAAATCAATAGTAAAGAAACAGATAATTCATCCTCACCTCAAATTTAAAACATAAGAAGGTGTATTTTATGTTGACCACTAACCATCAGCTCTTTTCTCACCAATATGTCAGCACAGTCCATACATTATACACAATAGAGTATGAGGGAAGCTCATGTTTCCACTGGTTTTTCTCTTCATCAGTTAACTAGAATACAATTAAAATGACAATTAACAATGGCTTCAAGAACACGCACAAATTCTCAGTTAATAGAAAAGCACCAAATGGAAACATGTGCCGCCACCATCATAATAGCTGATGAGAAGAGAACTGACATATTTTGATCCTTGAAGTTCAGTATGAATGTTGATATTGGGTGAAGATGTCAAATAAAACTACGGTAGTATATATTTTAGGTAAATAAAGTTATTTTAATGACAATGTTTGTACCCAAAGTGACAAGAATGCGCAGTTACACTGCACTGGTCTTTCTACTCCAGGCATGTTTCAGTCTAGTGTAGCTGCTTAAGTGTTTAATAGTTAGCTTCATAGTTTCTGGTCAAAAAGTTGGTGACTAAGACAATGACTAGTATCAATAAAACCTTTCAAGAACACTAACACCACAAAATAAAAAAAATGTCCGTGTACACAGTCCTTAGAAACGTCATGGTTGTTGACAAAATAAGACAGACTAAGTTTCCATATATATATTTACCAAGCTTGGTCTAACGTCTGAGAGGAATGTGATGTATGTGGGTGTTTATGGCAGTTCCTACTATAATACACTATGGAGACCATGATGGAGTAGACGGACTGTATCTGGAAAGTCAAAATTGCAGTATATATTTTCTGTCTCATATAAACTCAAAAGCCACCTTTTGAGCAGACAAGTATAGAATTACATTGTCCAAGGTTTTGTGAAGAACTTGCAGTATGACCGGGCCTGAAGGGCTATATAGGCCTCACGTATTAGTCTGGTTTCCACAGCAGGACTAAACTCAATGTTCATTTCCCTCAATTCATTTCCCTCAAAATTAGCTTTTTTTCCATCTTGTTTCCAAGGAGATTATTTGTAAGCTGGGCTGACATTTAAAATAATGTTTTGATCACTAGTTATAAACAGTTGGTCAATCGTTATTGAAAGGTAGTGCATCAAGTACATTTATAAAGTAAAACCCTTTATGGCAAAATGCTCAGTAAATGCTATGACAACATTTGTGGGCTCTGTTGTAACGCTCAATGATATACGTCATGTAACACTGAGAAATGTCCTTGCCACATCACAGCTGTGTTTTCTTTAACTTGATTTTAACATGAATAAAACATTTTTAAAAGTTTAGGCCTAAGTTGGCTTCAATGTAGAAATGTTTTCAAGTCCCAAAGCCAGCGATGCTGTGGTGTCTCCTTGGCATGCAGTAAAACTAGGGATTCTGGTTGGCTCCCACTAGTAGTTCGACATAACCACAGTTGTTTTGGAAAGACGGTACTGTAAGTTGAGGTACTTTGTCTGAGACAGATGGAAAGCCAAATATTTTTTTTGTTGCTGTTTTGGTAGCACCCATGAGTAGCTTGAGTAGTGCTTAACAATATCACATCCGGCATCACATTACTTCCATGTCTGTTAAAGGTTGATCCATCAAGAAGAACTTTATCCCTTCACTCTATAATTACATTAAAAAAAGTTAGATTTTTTTCTGCAAATACAAGCAAACTGATTTCCTTTGGACTTACCAAGTGATATTTGAGTTTAGCGGACCATGAGATCATCGATTCCCATACATAGACTCATGACACACGTAGCGCTCATGTGCTAAATGATCATAAATGGTAACCTATACATTATAAATTACTTTCAACTGACCATACAGACTGAAAAAATATTAATATTTAATCACAATGATGTAAAAGATGTAATTGCAGGGATAGAGAGGGTTGCACACACTCAGAGACACACATGTGTACTGAGACAATGCAGGCACATCCTGGCATGAAATGTCAACTTGTGGTAAGCAGAGGGGTTGTTAGTGCTGAACCTCTGTTATGCTACAACTTTGTCTCTACTATGGGCTGTTCCTTAGTTTGTCCACATTCCCCATCTCTGTGCTTTAACTATTGCATCTGTGCTTGTGCAACTATGTGAATGATAGGGCCCTTGATTACTACTTCCTCTTTCTCTTCAACCACAGGCGAACACTGAGATTCACTGAGGGTCTGTGGGCAGTGACTGCATTGTAAACAAATCCACCCTGAAACATATGCCAGAAGCTGTTTTAGTATTTAATTAAGGACAATTAGTGCTTATAGCTCCTACGGTAGGAGGAGTTTTTGAATTCACTTTGAGTCCATTACTGTCTAATTGTTTTAACCCTCAGCATGACTAAGTGATGAAAATTCAGCGACTAAGCCCAGATGAATATGGTCGGGGGTAGAAATATCTGCACACATGTAGATACGTGTGCACACACAGGCAAATGAGATTAGGTTCTCCAGCTTTCACATGACCAATGATTGCATTAAGTTCAAGTCACAGGCTGTTTCTTAGCTAAGCTGGGGTCTCAGGTCAGAAAAACACCCTCACAAGACACATATCAACATCAGATATAGACTCACTAACACAAGCGGACAGATGCTTTTATTTCTGTGTAAATGGAGTGTGACCTAAACTAATATCCTATGACTGAATTTGATTTAGATGTTTGTGTGTATTTCTATGACCGAGAAGTCAGTGAGTTCAGACCTTTTGGATGAACCAAGTGCAGTAAGTAAGGCATCACTCAGGTCAAAAAGGGTGAATGAAAGATTATTGCCACACAAAATGAAATTAATTTCCAATTTGCAGCAAACAAGGACAGTAATATCTTTTAATTTCCTACCTTTCTACAAAGACGTTAAGTGCTTGCTTCTAGCAAGCGGTGTATCCCCTATCTACCACAACCCGAAGGCACACGCTGTAGATAAACTAAGGCAAGGAACCCTTCCCTGCATGGATTATAATTTCCCCCCACCAGATTTTAGCAACTCTCATTTGATGCTCTGTGTGAGGTCATGCCCCCTATTCTGCCTCTGATTGGCTAACCCTAACCAGTGGAGGCAACGGGTACTAGCCAATCAGAGGCAGAGTTGTCTAAAATCTGGTGGGAAAGAAAACAACACTTCCTGCCTACACTTTGAATGCCTATAGTATAAATGTAATTAAATGTAAAGTTAAAAGTTAAAGTTTTGTTCTGGCAACCCTTTATTGGTTTTGTCACTAGGTGGCTTGCCGAAGATGAGACAAAGTGTGCGTATGTGAGCAGAGCAACAGAACAGAAACTTGCCAGCATGACCCACACTTAAGGCGGACACCACAGAGCTGATAAAAAAAGACAGACAGTTTGTAGAAATAAATGTAACACTACAGAAGTGGATCAGTAAAGCAGAGGGAGCCACCCACTGGACCATATAGGACCCTGTATGTCAAATCTACTGAGGCCTACACTTCACCTCCTTTCCTCTCTTTCTTCTCCAAACCACAGCATATTTTTACTATTACTGTGATACTGATTCCGTGAAGAAATTATTTTATTAATTTTCTGTTTAAACCCTCAAATGAGCCAGAGCCCAGACAGAGTCCAGGCTCTGACCCACCTCTGTTCCTTGTTCAATTTCCTTTTCACAAACACTTCATTACTTCAGGCGCTTACCAACGTGGGGCCTCTAATCCAGAACTACAAAAAGTGAATGAGAGGAGTCAGAAGAAAATAAAGGAGAATAAAGTAGGCCACTATAAAAAGGACAAACACTGAGTTTCTATACCCTTAAGTAAAAACCTATAGGGGACCACAGATGTGTGCATATTACATCTTTAAATAAAACTCAATATATATGGTGGCTTCCTCACAATGAAACCAAGATGACTGGTTAAGCATTGCAGTGTAAGCAACAACTTGGACAGTGTGTCTATTCCACAGACTGACTTACCTAGATTATCAGCTGCAGTGCAGCATAAGGAGAAGGATGGTATCAGAACCACATGGGGACAGGGAGAGGAAAAAGATCCAAGTCAACTGAGAGAGTGCCAGCTAACACTAATCAATCACCTAAAGTTGTAGTCTTGTTTGTCTGGATGTCTGTTTAAGCATTATAGGACTCAAAAGAAAAGTGTAAAACCAAACCATAATGCACCTATATGTTTTTAAAGCAATGTCATTATCAAGTGTGCCAAATCAGTGTTTTATGATGATCAAACTCATGCAGTGAGCTGTAGTAGAATGACACAAGTCTTATGTACCAGTATTAGTCACTATGTGCAGTATGAGTTACATGCCAATGTTTAATGTACTGCATAGTAGGAGTAAAAACTACCATTGCCCTTTTATTGTACTTTATCCTGAACATCTGTTGACTTTAGGAATGTGAAACATCCACTGGTTCATACCTGAAACTATCAACATCCAAAAACATGCTGAAAGCATATTTATCTAATTCCTTCTTTGTAAATGGTATTTTTTCTCTAGGTAGATGAATACGTATGTAGAACCAGAGCCAAGAAAACTGCAGAAGAAAAAAGCTGCTGCCCTCTCAGAGAGTGTTTACCAAGTAAGGTAATGCTTAGCCTTACTAGATCTGCTCAAGTCTAATCAGTAAGGACAAACTTCTTTTATACACACCACTGCTGTCTAATAAAAATGGTATATATAAAATTTGGACATTTTCCTATTTGAAATAAAAGATGCCATTTTCCTTCCCAACTTGTGATTTCAATAATCTTGCAGATAGAGATCTTTAATCCAGTACAGAATAAAACAAACTAAACTAAACACAACCAAAGCCCAGGTGAATTTTATTTAAGTAAAACTAATTATTGCATTGGAGTAATACAGGAGTAGATGAGTTTTTCTTTTGGCTATCCTAACGTGTAAACTACCTGACACAGCAGGCAGACCAAAGATTTCTGTATTGGTGTCCAAAAAAACAGATGAATGCTAGATTGTCCAAGAGGTCAATAAAAACCACATCTGTCTGGCAGAATCATAGCATCTATGGGAAAGGCATTGGCTGAATATTAAGAAGCCAAGCCTTTACTTACTTAGCTTCAAATACATGCATATAGTTAATCTTTTAGTGTGAGGGGTGCATAAGACTGAAGATCCATGCTTTCTAATTACGATGCAAATTAGTATAGTATAACAAAAGCATTTCTCTTTGCTTTCCACAAATTCATTCTGAACAAATTCTCACTTCACTGGATATCTTTCACTGGCTTAGCAGGCAATTCTCCAAGTCATTAAATGTGTGATCCCTACACTTAGTTTCTATGCCTGCATAATAAAGATAATAAGACTATATTGTGTAATGATCAAAACTTTACAAGTATGTTGGCACAAGATTGAGAACAAGATTTGTCTACATCATTATCAGATGAATGGCACTTGGCAGTATTATTTTTGTTACATCACCTAAGCTTTTAAATAAAAAGATCTTTTTCCTATTTTTTTTTACCTTTCTTTGCCTTCTTCTGAAGTTTCAGTGTGTCCGAGGACTTCTTCTTTATTTCCTGCCGGGCTCTTTTATACTCTGGTTCAGAAATAGAAAACAGCCTTAAGTCAACCTATGCTTAAAGTCATAATCACTAACTGGCAATAACTAATTGGCGCTTTACATTGCTGAAATACATTGCTAAAATGTGAAAGATCTATCCTGATGTCAACGTAATTTGTAGATCAGCATGTAGAAGGACTGAACAATTAATCAAAATCTTATCGAAATGGCAATATGGCCTAGTGCAATTGTAAAATAGGAGGAGGAGCAAAATTTGTTAAAGGCAAAATGTGTGTCAAAATACCATTTTAAATTAAATATTGTGGTGCTGCAGAGATGTCCTGTCCTACATATCATAGTCTACAGACAAAAAACATCTTTGTTTGATACAGATCCTTGCAAAAATCACACCATAATCATTTAAATATGTTTACAAAAATGAGAATTATTATGTAAAAAGGATAATTCCCTCTAATATCGCAAATCATACTGCGATTGCAATATCAGTCAAAATAACTGGAATTAGATATTCTTTCAAAATCGTTCAGCCCTGGTGTGTAGTGTTATATTCTTGTGTGTCCTACCTTTAGCATGGTCCTTGTCCAAAGAGCTGACTCCTCTTTTCCACTCCTCCATCTGTTCTTGCAGAGGGTTGATCAGACCCTCCAGAAAGGCCCTGCAAAAACAACATTGTACTTACTTCTAATCAGAGGTCACCTTGATCAGTTAAACCATTTAGAAGTAGATTTTCAAGACTAGGGTTTTAAAATTAACTTATCACTACTGGAATTCATTCAAAACACAAATTTCTATCATTTATGTGTATCCAAAATAACTTTTATTGACCGATCATATGGCTGAACAACCTATTTATAAACATAATACAAATGGAGGAAATGTAAAATACCAGCCACCAACGTTTGACTTTTGTTTCACTTTATTTACATTTTACAGACCTGCTCTGCAGGTCTGTCATTATATCTGTCACCTGATGTTAAAGCAGCAGTCAGACAGTCAGGCATAAAAAATAATTAGGTCTGGTTCGCCTTTCTGTCTCACTGAATGATCTTGTCTGTCAATCATTAACAGGCAGACAGACAAGGAGAAAAAAAGGAGACTGAAAGAAGAGCAAGTCTGCTTATGTCTGACTGTGTGTCACAGGAGGAAGTAAGAAGCTAGTGCAGTCATGTCTGTCAATCATTACCCAACTGTGCCGTCTTGTATTTGTGAGTGTGTTTAAGAGGTTGTGAGTGTGAGGTAGGCAGCTGCAGGGTTAGTGCATGAAACTAAAATTAGACTTCACCCTCTTGCAGACATTTCTCCAAAGTGTGTGTGTGTGTGTCAGTGCGTGGGTGGGTGTTGACCACAGCCCCGCAGTGTACAGCTCCTGCTATGGAGATCCAAGTGGAATCTCTACTGAAATGCCCCCCGAAATTAGAGAACCCCTTGTCTGTGTAGTGTGTGTGAGTGAGAGAGTGAGAGAGAGAGAGAGAGAGAGAGAGGCATGTGGTGTGTGTTTGTGTGTGTGTGTGTGTGTGTGTGCGCGACCACACTGAAACATTATAGATGCTTGTGTTGCCAGACAAATCGTCTCTTTCCCAGCATTCCACGACAAGGGGCATTTCTCACCCACACACAAAATGTCAAGACATGGGAGGATGTGGTGAAAAGACAATTCAAATACAGACCATACAAAATACCATTTCAGTGGAGCTGCACTGTTAGGGAAACAGCTTGGGTCAATGTATACTAATTCTGAGTGACTAATATAGGAAGCAGTGCCAAAGAAAATAAGCTTTAACCCAATCAGATGTTAATCTTTTAAAATTAGAAAAGAACTGACTTTTTTTTTGTTAGAACTAGGGATGGGGATCGTTAATTTTTATTGATACCCTCATTGAGACTGCTTAACGATCCGATTCTTTATGGATACCACTATTGATACTTTAGGCTTCTATTATTTGGTTATTTGGTAAAGACCAGACCCTATGGGCATGAGGTAGGCCTGCACGGTATGAGGAAAATATTCAATGTGCGATAACGTTGTTATTTATTGAGATGACATATTAGTTGTGATAAAGCAAGATAATATTGAGTGTCCATAGCTGCCTGGTTGTTTTTAAATTAATTATAGGATTAGAATTTAATATTTTAAATACAGCTAAATATTATATCTAGTGCAGCATCATTAATTTTTACAACAGCAAAGTCACCGTATTGTCTTTTTACTCGCGAAGGTTTTATTGCACATAATAAGCGCCACTGTCTGCAACTCGAGTAGTTTGGAGCTAACTTAACTTCACCACAGCGACGGAGCGTCGTCTGCGTCTCTCTGTGTAGGGCGCTCTGTGTGTGTGCGCGCGACAGAGAGCAGCAGAGGCTGCAGCCCGATGATAAACAGTTCCGGGCCAGTTTAATACCGCGTTTCGGTGCCATCAATAAATAAACATTAGTTTTCTTGTCCATTGCGTTTCAAGATAAATCAGATTTGACGCTCCAGACATAACGTTACATTATAGGACCCGCTAGTCTCGATAGCAGTATCGATAAGCATGGACCTTATTGATTTTCAGGTTTTGAGAAATTTTGGAACCGGGTCCTTTTGGAACCGGGTCTTGATCCCCATCCCTAGTTAGAACTCAAAAATCACATTTTAAGCAAATGTTGCATCACTTGAAATTGGCAGCATTTGAGTGTAGAGGGGAGGTTTTGTTGGGACATACGTTAATATTCCTTGTTTGTCTCACAAAGACAACCCCATTAGTAACCCCAATGAAATCTCTGCCCCTTCCCAACCCCTCTTAAATCCCAGCCAAGCATTCACCAAATTTGGGATATATTACATTATGTCCTGTATGTTGGTTCATGTCAGTAGTACTGTGTTTGAGGAGAGTCGTTGAGGGTAAAACAGCAATGTTGCTTACATGGAGAACTGTTTGAGTTTAGCCTCTATGCTACGATGTCTCATACACATCCTTGTCAATGCCGATCCAATGTCTCTGGTCCCACCTGAAAGACATTTAAAAAAGACAATAAATTACTATTTAAAAATTCACAGCAAACACCATTACTTCATCATTATTTAGCAGGGCCTCCACATATATAGGTAAGTGGAGAAAATGCATTAGCACAGTGCTAACACTGGGACGTTAAAATATATTTTTAAATCTTAATTATTGTAGTTGGACTTTCTAAATGAAGCATTGGTAATAAGCACTCCCCGAACCCACTCTCTTCACTGTGGGAATCAGTGGGAAACGGAGTTACGAATTGCGCACATTCAGGTCAAGAGAAGTGATGGGAAGTTGGAACTGGGGCCTAGTAAATGTGCTTGAGGCTAGTGTCGGTTTCCTTCACACAGGCTAACTAGCTGTCCAATGGAAGGCTTCAGGCGCGACAGCTAAGCAGGGACTTGACGTTGATTGACAGAACTATTGTCTGGCTGCTCAGTATGACTAGCTGGTTTCTCTGTGGGATTGAGGCACCACTGTGTGTACGTGTTTGTTTGTGTGTGAGCATGTGTGTGTCTGTATGTGTGCATGAGAAAGAGAGAGAAGGTAGGGCCAGAGAGATCTTGTACGGAACTGTGTGGAGTTCTTGCACATTCTGTTCAGTGCATCAGAAACACAGCAATACTCTCAGTTTGTGTGTGTGTGTGTGCGCGCGCATGCTTGTTAGAGACAGTTTGGTTGTGATGATCTGATGAGAAGTGTGAATCCCCTCCAACAGAGCAAGCCATTCTGCTGTCAGCACAGTCCTTGCTGCATGCAGAGACACACACACAGCTGTCACTCACTCACAACACATGAAATTGTCTTTTACTCCATCAGAGGCTGGACAAAACAAATGCAAAAGGCTGCCGATATGGCCTCCAACTCTCCCTCCTCTAAACAGGAAATCCTTACAGGAGAAAAATTAGTAAAGTGAGACAAACCTTTAAATTGAAATTGTTATTTCAAGTGGTCTGACTTGAAATTCAACCAAAAGTATTATTATGGAGCTGCAGCTGGATACACACACACACAGCCGGACAGATGTAAGACGATCTCTAGCTGGAGTGGAGTGGGGAAAAGTTGGGCTCAAAGAGCATATCTTTTGACTTACTGAATCTCTAAATTCAACAGGATCATGTGTGAAGAGTTGTTCAGTAGATTAAGTGTATTTTATGTGTGTAAATGAATATGTAGCTACATACATGCAGGATAATTTGTGTCAGTGTGCAAATTAGCACAAATTAGCGCAAATTAAGTAGGGCTGGACGATATGGCAAAAATGTTATCATGAGAAAAAGTTTCATATCTTTCAATATCGATTAATCGAATTATCAACGATAAGTATTTTATGAAGATACCTGATGATTAATTGTGGTTTTAACTTTTCTTTATGGTCAACATTTGATGCCCAACAGTGGATCACTTCACAAATCTTAGGTAGAACATTCAAAACAATTATGATAAAAATCTTTGTCAACAAATACGAGTGAAATTAAGTGTGTTAAATTAATCTTTTTTCATTCCTTTTTCCTCAACAAAATCATCATTAATATCTTAATAAAAAATAAGTCCGAATTTGTGTATGATTCAAGTGAATAAAATCAAACATTTATTGAATATTTATTGAACATTTGTTATATTGTTATTGAAAATAAAACTGCGATAATTATTGTTATTGTTTTATTGTCCAGCCCTAGCACAAGGCCAGTTTTGTGCTAAATCTCGCTGCTTCGGTATCTTTCACTGAGCGGTGCTTGTTTGCCCGACTGACCTAACATGGATCAGAGTGACAAAATATCTCAAACTAAATTCCAAAACTAAACCAGTGGGACAGCATCTGTAGGTTTTAGTCTCAGTCGCTGTGTGATTATGAACACAGAGACAATCTGCATCTGTCCTGCTCTTCTAAAAGACCTGAATTAGCTCAGTGTGGTTTTGAATGCTCAGTGAAAGGCAGACACAGTGTAACAGAAACAGACAGATACAGGCTGGAAGTGAATTAAGCGATTCTAGATAGCAAATTACAACTCCCCTCTACCTTTCAACAATGTATAATTTAATGTCAGTCCCATTGAGGCCATTATGACCTGAAATGTTTCCCTCTATCCATTCATTCATCCATTCCTCTTTTACTGTGCGTGCTTGTTAGTGTAGAGGGTGTGGCTACCACATGCCATAAAAGAGCTTTCTGTTATACAACACCGTCATGCTCATTCATTCCTGCGTTGACTTGTTTAGTCATCCTATCCATCTATCCATCTTCCCACATCACCCTTACTATGACTGCTTGTTATTCTAGAGGGTGTGCTTGGCTGATAGGTGCCTGTGCTATGGGGAGGCCACGTGGCCAAGAGTTAGTGCTGGCAAAAGTTTTTAATTAGAAAAATACTGTAGAGTTCTAGCCCATGCTGTCAAGGGAAGAGTTTGGTTTCAGCTGATTATTTATTTCCCACTTCCCCACCCTTACTCTTGGATCTGATATGAGTCATATAAGAGAAACAAACTCTGCTCTTGGCTATATTATGCACAGGTGCATCATTATGGGTGCACACACTAAAGTCAGATTTTGAGAGATTATTGCAACACTCACATTTCCTTTTGAATAGAGTCCTTTCCTTGAATAGATTTCCTTTCAAGGAGTCATATGAAAGAGACTACTGCTAACACACAAGAGAGGGCTATACAAAAGAAACTTGTCTGCAGATGTCAACATTGCTCAAGACGCGGGTGTAAAGAACTCCTCACATGCCATGAGCATAAACTAGCAAAAATTCGAGGTAGCTGAGCCTTGCAACTAAAACCGTTTACACTATAGCAAGATGATAATCATGATAAAACTCTTTTGTTGAATTAAAATAATTCAGCAATACCCCATACTCCATGTGTGAAAGACTCTCACAGCAGGTAGCTGTTCAATGTGGCCTCTGCCATGACTGCCAGTTACTATGAAAACTGTGTGTGTGTGTGCACCTGCTACATCTGACATGGACTCCAATAGTGTTACAGGGAATAGAGAGATTTGTTACGTTTTGTGATTTTTGATACAGTGATACTGTGAAAAAAAAGCCGGGCTGGACCACTGCTTTGTGTGTGTGTGTGTGTGTGTGTGTGTGTGTGTGTGTGTGTGTGCGCGTGTGTGCATGTCTGTGTGTGTATGAGTAGTGGCATAGCTGGCTGTCAGTAGAAATAGCTGCTCTGTGACATGGTTGTTTCGGAGGCTTGAAATTATTCCTGCACCACCAACACTTAACCACTCGAAAACACACACATACACAATGTAAGCCCCACTCTACAAACGGTGTTAAACTGACTCCTTTTAAAAAATCTCTAGTGGAATAGGCAGCACAAACAACTGAGAAAGAGAGAAAAGATCTGTTATTAATGTTTCACAATATATAGGGAAGTGCATAACCAACTGTCCCAGGCCTAGCCAATCTACAACATCCCACAGTAGAGAGTATATGGTATAAAGCAAATGGATTGTCTTGCAACTGTATTTATTTACTCCACTTAGTTGGTGTTAATTTTCTCACTACGTTCAAACAATTTCTATCAAGTAATCAATAAAAGCTGTACGTAACAAAAAAGATTGTCCCTATGTGTTTGTCAGGTTGTAAGAAGAAGAAACCACTACTTTCATTTATTCCTAACAAAGCTTTGTCTCTTGGTCTCTGATACTTCAGCTTTCTGTGGGAACTAGTGTCTCAATAGTCTATTGGGTCTATATTGGGTATGATCCTCTCTCATCCTATGCATTCATGTAGAAGAAAGAAAAGAAAGAAAGTGGGAAGGAGATTAAACACCTATGATTAAAATGGGAGAAGGAAAATTTGAGAAAGAGAGAAAGTGATGTCGCTGGGGTAGTTTTGACATAAGGACAAGGGAGGCCTGCTAGCTAAAACCAACTCTGAATGGGCACACCAGATGGCTGCTTTTAACTACGGGCCAGTGGTTACACTGATAAGAGACTGGAGACCATACAGCTGGATACAAGTACACACACACACACACACACACACACACACCCACCCCCAGCTGGACAGAGGTAAGGCGATCTGTTCACTAGCTAATTAGAGAGCTGAAGAAAACACTAAGGCTACATCCATGCTGAGCTGGCTAAATTTAAAATCAAATCCTTTCCTCTACATGTTGGCCTCCAATCGAACAAAGCTGTTTTATTAGCACTGAAAAATGAGCTGACATTTAAAAAAAAGATTATCTACCATTGCATGGCTGAGTGCTATGTGGCAGTAATGTTAAGACAATTTACATTGCCTCTGGCTAACACAGCTGATTACACAATATTGTAAACCGTATTTATGTTAATCTTGTCAGACTACGTTGTAGGTATCAGCTCCTGAATAGACTGACAGACTAACTGTGAAAACCCAGGAATTACAGTTGCCAAAGGTGACATTAAGTCAAATTACTCCTTCTTTTGACTGCTCCTCGTGGGAGTCGCCACAGCAGATGATCTGTTTCCATATCGCTGGCAAACCAGGCTCTGCCCAACCTGGCATGAAGATCTGATGATCCGCATATTTGATTTGGCTGAGGCTTTTTATGCCGGATGCCCTTCCTGATGCAACCCTTCCCATTTATCCAATTAAGTTAAATCACTATTTTATAATATTTTAGGTGTCTGACAACTAGGGGTGTGTGATATATATTGTCTACAATACTATCTTAATTATTGAGTACCCTACATCACTCACCTTGTCCTGCACATTCACTGTGTCAGGCATGCAGTACACTGTGCCAGAGGTAAACAAGCAATAGCTGCACAAAAAAAAATGACTGAAGTTAAAAATGAGCGAGGAGGTGCCAGGAGTTAAAACCAGCCTCCATCAGCCTTCGCAATTTACATCGTTATATTAAATTTCTAGACATGGATCAATCTCACTTATGAGGGTGGTTAGGCTTTGAAAAGACAGATGTTGCTCAAAAGACATCAGTCTGCAAAATATGTCGGAAATCGTTTGCCGTTAAAGACCACAAACTAACCACCACACATTT